TTGGAGCATACGTAATCCTACAATGTAGCATCGTACTACAGATGGCGTTTACCGCGCCATTTGTAGTATTTTCTATTGGCGAAGAAGTTCAATTTTAAAAAATTTTGTGGAATAGGTGCAGTAAATCGAATTTAATACGCTTTCTTCTATTTTATTGGTTGCTCTTCTTCATTTTCCGCGCATTTCGTCAGAATTTAGACATAAAAAAAATTCCTTTCCGTTTCCAGCAACACGTACAGCCCAAAAAGGACTAAACTAAGAGGAAATTTCGCATTGGCCTCGTTGTGCACCCTAAAAAGTTTCACCTTAACCGTAACTACTTAATAAAGGTGATTTATTTTTTAGAGGATGTCTTAAAGAACCCGGAAGCGTTGTGGTGCTCCAGGGACGGAACGCACCTGTTATACGCCACATTCAACGACAGCGATGTGGGAACATTAATCTTTCCGTGGTTCTCGACAGGAGCTGTATTAGCAGCAGGAGGAACGAAACAACGAGCTCCCATATTCCCCCCTTCTAGATCTGTTAGATATCCAACGGTAAGGTGCTTATTCCCTATAATTCGTTTCGTTTAAACCGGGAACTCTCCTTCCTGCAATAAGACTATCGAAAACTACGGTAAGGTTCCAGAAAGGTCTTCATCACGGCTAGTAAAACTAAAAGAAGGTGGATATCGATAACAACATAGAATTAATGATTTAATTAAACATTTTTGTGAATTAATATTCAACCCTCGTCAAACTTATGAGGTAAAAATTGTTGCTGTTGTTACACTCTGCCGGGAATTGAGCCCAGGGCCTTTGTTTTTCAGCTGTGAAAAGCATAGAAAACAGTAACCTATAACCGTTTTCACCTGATTTAGCTACTACTACTACTACCACCTATTTCCCAAACTAAAAAAAATTTTTAAAGGAGTCATAGAAGTTACAGAGAGCTGCCCAGCAAGAAGAACTTTTTTAAAGACTTAGAGACGCTGCACGAGCTGTCTAAAGTGTTTTGAGTTAAAAGGGGATTATCTTGAGTAATAAAAAATTTATTTAAAAATTTTAAGGCTATAACTTATCAATATCCCCTGGTAAATTTTTCTCTGCAAAGCTGTTGAAAATGTGTTTATAGTAATGCTTTTTGGAAAAGCTCTTTCATATCTTTCGAGTACATAATCATCATCACAGGGCCGTGAGTCTGAAGACAGATTGGATACGTAACCACCCTTTTTATAATAATCTCCTTTTCCTAAAACTAAATCATCGCTGTTAGATCTTCTTTAGCCCCTCTTTACTCCAGCTTCTGTTTCTAGTACTTCCCGAACTAGCCCTTCGTGTTTTAGAAGGTGTCTTACACGATCCTATTTCTTATTCAATTTAGAGATACAGGCGACTGGACAAAAATAATGCAATGATATGAAAGTAATATAACTGGGCTAAATATCTTATGGTGAAATTTATATTACGTTCCGGAACTTCTTTGAAACAAGTTTCGGTAAAATAGAGTATAAAAACTTCAAACAATTTATACGTGCAATCCGAAAAAGACTCTCCGGTGGGATTTAGCTGGATAATCAGTTGGTATATTTCTGTCGTAGCCGGGAACACCGAACCCAAAAGTGCAATTGTGGATACTAGACATTTCAAACTTGACTGAACTTCAAAGGTGGGCCATTAAACCGCCAAAGGCATTGAAGGATGAGTAAGTTCGATATTCTCTTGTGTGTCATCCCGATTCGTCTAACGATGTATTTCCTTTTTGCTAGGGATTATTATCTTACTTCGGCAGGTTGGATTGGTCAGAGTAATTCTCAAATAACTGCAGTCTGGATGAATAGGCCGCAAAATCTTAGTCTTGTGTCGACGTGTTTCGCACCCAATTGGACTTGTATAGAGGTAAATATTGTAGTTGAAGCAAATTTATTTGATGTGTGTTACACTTTTAGGAAAAATTGTAGATGAACGCTTTTTTGCATAGAATCGTTTTGTTCTTAGATTGGTATTGAATTAACGATACCAATGGTAAGGTCAATTGTATAATCCTTAACGATCAACAAGGCCGCATTGCCGAATTATTGTTATATTCAAAAAATATTATACTTACATTAAGTTTCTCAAATCACCATGGTACAGTTAAATCTAATTTTGAGAACGGCTTACATTCAAATTTTTAAAGTGAATTTAAAAATAAGATTACTTGCAATACGAAGAACATCGTAAATATTCAAAATTAAAATTGTGATAATCTTGGTATTGACTTCAACATGGTTTTTATATTTGACAATCAAACCCTAAAACAAAAATTTGAAGAAATAAATGATCTCATTCGATATACAATTGCACTCTCTAGTTTCCGCATAACATTTTAGAAAGAAAAAACTAAATGATTATGCTGGGCTTTTAGAATTTTAGCATTTGGTATTCCACTAACTATTCAGAGACATATTGAACTTATAATAACCATAATCTGTGGTGGTTTATTTAGATTCATGCTGAGCGAGCAGCCGAAAATTCGTGGTTGGAAATTCAAGAACACCCTGTATTCTCTTCTGATGGAGAAAGTATATTGTTGTTAGCAGCGGTTCAAGAGGGAAACACAGATACGTTTACGCATATAAAACACGTCACTTTAAGTCAACAACATATTGCAGTCTTAAGTCACGGCCGGCTTGAAGTGACTAAAATTTTAGCGTGGGACACGGAAAATCATTTAGTGTAAGTAAAAGCCTTAATGTATAGGGTTGTTCGGAAATTAATTCCTTTTTTTTTGTGAAAATGAAAGACAGTTTTCGTATAATAAACAAATACTTTATTAAATTATATATTGACCGTTCTGGTCCAACACCTTTTGCCATCTTTCTGGTAGTAGCATAATTCCACGCTCATAAAATTTTTGGTCTTTGCTGGCAAAAAACTGATCGAGGAGGTTTTTGACCTCCTCATTTGAGGTGAAGGTTTTACCGTCTAAAAAATTTTGGAGTGACCGGAACAAATAATAATCCGATGGTGCCAGGTCTGGAGAATATGGTGGGTGTAGCATTGTATCCCATTCAAGCTGTAAAAGCTTTTGGCGAGTGACCAAACTTGTGTGAGGTCTCGCGTTGTCTTGGTGAAACACTACACCTTTCCTGTTGATTAGTTCTGACCTTTTCTGTTGAAGTGCATCATTCAGTTTGTCCAGCTGATGACAGTAGACTTCCGAATTAATCGTTGTGTTATCCGGTAAAAGCTCAAAAAAAACGATTCCTTTAAAATCCCACCAAACAGACAGCATCACCTTTTTTTGGTGAATATCGGCTTTGGAAATGGTTTGAGCCGGTTCATCTTTTTTGCTCCATGACCTCTTGCGTTTGACGTTGTTGTATACAACCCATTTTTCGTCCCCAGTGATGATGCGCTTCAAAAACGGATCATTTTCGTGACGTTTGAGAAGCGAATCGCAGACGTCAATGCGGCGACACAGATTTCTCTCTGTGAGAACATGGGGAACCCATACATCGAGCTTCGAGGATAATCCCAGGCCTTTCAAGTGGTCATAAACTGTTGAATTTGATAAATTTAACCTCAATCCGATCTCACGTGTTGTTATTCGCCGGTTCACATCAACTAATGCCTTTATCGCGTCTTTATCAGCTTCAACCGGCCTTCCCGAACGTGGTGCATCTTCGACATCAAAATTGCCGGATCGAAATTTAGCGAACCAGTTCTGGCACTGGCGTACTGTCAACACACCTTCTCCATACACATCAGTCAATTTCTTTCTGGCTTGAACAGCATTTTTACCCTTTCTGTAGTAAAACAGTAAGATATGTCGAAAATGCTGCTTATCGCTCTCCATATTTAAAAGGGCACCAACCAAAAACTACTGCGTAGAATTAATTGGAATTTACACAAGACAAGCCTTGCTATATGAGCTCTCAAAGCATATAAAAATTATACGGCTTAAATGTGAAGTTGGGTGCAAAAGAATACAATTAAATCCTGTCGGGAAAAAACGAAATGACTTTCCGAACAACCCGATATTTTGCGTGATCAAGCCTAAATTAATCCATTTTTATCTCAATAGATACTATTTAGGCACTCAGGATCACAAGCCCGGTCAAAAGCATTTGTACGTTATTAAGGATCCAACAACGGACGATCCCAGGCGAATAGAGCCTTTATGTATCACATGTGACTTGGGAGGTGTCCTGTGGAGCAGTCGATATTATTATGGGAATTGCAGTCACTTCAGTGCTTCAGTAAGTCGCATTAACAGCTAGTTTTTATCGATTTTTTTGTTATTTTCTTTAAATCAGTTAAACTTTTGGTAAAAATTACAGTAGGTCCTTCCTACATGTGGACTGAGTCCTTTGAAGAAGCTTGCCACTTGTGCTGGTGAAACGTTAGGAAGCAATTGGTCAACTATTAGTAGCTTTTTATATAACATTTATCCCAAATATTTGGGTTTATTTATGATAACAAATATTCCACTTTTTGACTTTCAAAAAATAGTCCAATTTGTGTCTACTAACCATACTAACGAAATTAAAATTTAATTGCTTCAGATTAGTCCTCGCGCAGCGTCGTCCGGAATGTTGTACTACCTCCTCGAGTGCGAGGGTCCTAGGTTCCCATTGGCAGGGCTCCATTCCGCCAGAACCCACAAACTTCACAAGATAATCTATGACACGCGTGCCCGCATGACTCCTAAGCTAAGTGACTTCGCTTTACCGAAACAACAATTCCTAGAGGTGCCTTTAACCCAAGGGAACCGGGCTCAAGTTCAACTACTACTTCCTCCCAGTTGGAGACCTGAACTTCGTGATGCGGCATATCCTGTCATCGTGGAGGTGTAAGTAAATATGTTGTCATTTAGAATATCATCACGTAGAGATGTAGCTTATAGTTTTAAATGTATCATTGTGTGTCGAAACCACTCGGAAATCGTGCGAAATCTTTTAAAAATTCTCATTTAATGAATTTACAAAACCAGAAAGGTCCCAATACTTTTAACTCCTCCTTTAAGCATTTTTATCAATGCATTTTGAGTGAACCTGAATGGAATCCTAAAATGAACATAAGGTCGTCATTCCTAAGACTGGTTGGACACGCACCTCCACATTATTTCCTATTCTGAGCCAATCTTCGCATTTCTTTAAAACTAGAACAGCCCACATTCTTAACAATTTGCGAACAGTAATCTAATCTAGGTCTACCTCAACCTCTCCTAACTCCCGTTTCTGTTTCCAATATGTTTCTGACTAGACCTTCATGCCTGAGAAGGTGTCTTACCAACCTATCTCGCCTATTTCTTATTGACTTCCATAGAATCCTCTGTTCTCCTATTCTTTCTAATATCTCTTCATTTCTAACCTTCTCTTTCCACGGTATCCTCATCATTCGCATGTAACACCACATTTCGAACACTTCTAACCTTTTCTTTTCCTCCGCGCCCATGTTTCGCACCTGTATAACGCCGCGCTCCAAACATACACCTTTAACAACCCTTTTCGAATTTCTAAATTAATCGTTAGCGAGCATAGAAGTGACTTCTTTTTATTGAAGGTAACTCGACCTTGCGCTATCCTCTGCTTTTTATCCCTACTACTCCTTCCGTCCTGACTTATCTGACTTCCTAGATACCTAAAATCAGCCACTTCTTCTAATTTTTCGTCTCTCATCTTCATATTCGGCCTTACCCTACTTTTTCTTCCCTTGCATACCAGTATTTTTGTTTTACATTTATTTATTTTATACAATACTGTTTTGTCAATATTGTTTCCATTTTATTTAAAGCTATCTGTAACCTAACTCCTAAAATCAACGTTAGACCAAAACGAAACGAGAATTATTTTTATGCACAAAGGGTGGCAAAAACGGTAACCCCATAATCATGCATGAATTTGTTCACTTCAAATCACTTCCTCGTTTACACCTCAAAAGTAATCGTTTGTCTTACAATTAAGGGTAGATTTAAAACTTTATTATTTGTGAAATGGTTAACATTCTTTCAATTTTTTTAGTAATGGTAGACCCGGTAGTAAAGCCGTTACGGACAAATTTAGAGTAGACTGGGGGACATATATGTCTAGCCACTGTGATGTAGTGTATATAAGATTAGATGTGCGTGGTTCGTTGGGTCAAAGTAGTCGCGCTTTGTACCACCGTTTAGGTGGCATTGAAGTGCAGGACCAAATAACGGTGTTACAGCATCTATTAGAAAAATATTCATACTTAGATAAAACTAGAATAGGACTATGGGGTTGGGGTTACGGCGGCTACGTCACCTCCATGGTGCTAGGAACTCAACAGAAGATCTTCAAGTGCGGAATCGCTGTCAATCCCATCACCGACTGGCTATATTTTAGTAAGTCGATACGAAAAGCACTTTAAATGTTTACTTAACTTGAGTAGATACATTTGTACATTTTTGTTTAAACAATATGGTATTTTTGATGATGTCGTAGTTGTTAATTCAAGACTGTGCTCATGATTTTAGATTCAGCATTCACAGAAAGAATTTTGGGACTGCCAACAGAGAACTACAAGGGTTACGTGGAGTCAGATGCAACTCAGAGGGCAAAATTGATACCATCAATGTCTCTCTATCTCATCCACGGTCTTGCAGATTTGACTGCGCCATACCAACACGGCATCTCCTTAGCCACAGCTCTGGCCGATGCAGGAGTCCTTTTCCGTTATCAGGTAAGTCCACATATAATATCGTACTGTTTATTCCCAGTCAAAGTACTGGAGTTCTTACTTACAATCGGTTAAATTTGACCACTTCTGTTTTTTGATATGGATTCTTATTAAGAATGTAGGTTTTTTCTAAAATTCAGGATGAATTGGATGAATTGGATGAACACAAGGCTCGCGATTTGTTATTTTTACTCCTGGTTTTGTATTCATAATAGAATTATTTCCTTTGCCAATCATACAAAGCAGTATTAGGTAGATACTATCATGATCTAAGTCTTGATTTTAATCTCATCATTAGTATTGCAAACAGAGCCTTCATTTTAACCAGTTTAATTTTGTAAAATAGTTCATAACTATGGTCAATTGTCCTGACATATACGAAAAAATAGCATTATGAAAATCGGTTTGTCTATTCTGTAATGTTTGTAGGAAATATTAATTGTAAATGTGCATTCGATTTACCTATATGATTTTATAACTAATTCGGAAACAATCTACTGAAGATAAAAATTGTCAAAAAGTTGAGGTCAATGTTAGTTCTTTTAAGCTGTGTGGGGACACTACAGATTTTAAACTTTTTGAAAATTCGCAATCGAATTGGATATAAGTAAATGTTGGTCAAAGTTTTGCTCTGGTGACATTACAGAGTTACGCTGATGAAGGACACAAATTGGATGGAGTGATTAAACACGTATATCGCTCGATGGAAGACTATTTCCAGGAGTGCCTTAGTTTAGACACTGATGACCCAAAAGCATCCCCAGCTACCTGAAACATGGTCAAGCACTTGTTGTTTTGCGTCACGTCTTTGTTACGAACACTTTTTCGCGGCCATCATCACGTCAATCATCAGTAAATGAAATTACTCTTTCGAAATAAAATAAAATAAAGAAATTAAATGAGAAACAATCTTCCAATTAACAGTGTTTTATATTTCTTACTAAGGTGTACGTTCAGACTCTTATTAATCTGCTATCGAGTGAGTCATTAAAGTTATTAGTAAGTAACTCTTTTAACTGACTTGTGTGTTCCACGATTACAGCATGTTGTTTAATAAATAAAAAATGTGATGAAAAAAATCTTAGATAGTCCTGTTCTTTTACTAATAATTATATTTAATAATGTACAAACTTTGGTTTGGTACAAAAGCAAATTATCAACATCTGTATGCAATGAATTTAGAAATCGGTTTTGTTTGTTTGTTTTTATTTAGAAAAAAAAAAGTTGCCCAACAAAATTTTTGTATCCTAACCGTAAATTATTTAATGTTTCTAAAAAAATTGGGCATGATATTACACGAAAATATATTTTCAAATCAAAAGTACTTATTTGTAATTCCACAGAAATAATGAAACGTAAAATATTTTTTATTTTTTTCTCTTAATTTTTATGAGTTTGCCATCAAAAAAACTCTATCTCAATTTAAGAAAAAACACACTAGGCTACACAAATTGTTTGAATGCCCACAACAGTTGTGGAAGAAATACAACTGTTGTGGACAATTAAACAAATTGTGTAGTCTAGTATTTAAATATTATAATATTTATTAGTTGAAAAACCTATAGAATATAGTTACGTTATGCTGTTGTACCAAACCCATTAATTAATATAGTATAAATTGTTAGAAAATTATCTGTAGGTAAAACCAGAGTCAATTATAATTTAATTGAATCGAAATATCTAATACCATATTGTTGGATCGCTTTATAATATCTTATTCTGTCGAAAAAGGTTGTGAATTTCGAAGCGTGATTATTATGTTGATTAAGCTGCAGCATCTGTAGTTATTTTCAGTAGGCCTATATTATTATCTATTATAAGAATTATGCTTGAAAAGTAAAACGAATCCAAGACAATCGCTGTACCTACCATAGCATGCTTTGATACCTACAATTTAGCTTATTATAAGTATTAAAAGTTTTTCCCTAAGAACATTCTATTTAACCTTCAATGATAAGACGTAAGATAAGGTGACATTACCTCAGTAACTATACAAGTTTTAACAAATCAAAAGGGCATTGAAATTAAAAATGTAAGCACATTTTTTTAATTCCTTTTTCATCGTTTCTTTATCAAGAAATATTTTTACTTATTTTAAAACTAACTTCAAAACCACCTACGTACACTATTTTCAGTTTCATCTAATGCATTATGTTAAAACGAAGTTAAAATTTTCATCTTCTTTTATTCTGCATGAATCAAGTACGTAGTTTTAAAAGCAATAAGAGAAATGTACTAATTAAACTCACCGATGCAGTGAAGACTGAGTAGACGTTTTAGATCTTCAATAGGTACCTACAAAATACAAATAAATACATTTAGATTAAATGAATAAATATATATAGTATGAAGGCGTCTTATAATCATAAATTAAATATAATTGAATTACTTCTTTTGGATTAAGTTATTAGAGGTATATTAAAATGCACTGGCCCGCAAAGTGTGCAAGAGATGGAAGCCAATGAATAGGCGGAGTTTTGTCACTGCATCACCTAAGGTTACGGCCCATGAGATTCTAAACTACCTCTATTAATGGTGATTTAAATTTAAATTGAACGTATTATTAATTGGCGTTACAAACATCAAGTTATTACTAGAAAAATTTTGAATCAAACAATGACATTTTGAATTATTAATAGTGGTTAATATGAAATATTAATGTGAAAATTCATTTTCAATTTTCCATTCACTACAAACTACCTCAAGTTAATGAGGAAAATTTTTGTTGCTGTTCCCTCATTAACTTGAGGTAGTTTGTAGTGGAAGGAAAATTGAAAATTAATTTTCTCATTAATATTTTCTGGATCAGTTTCAATTATTATAAATAATAAAGAGTAGTGAACCAATTCAATTGCAAAAGGTACATTTAAACCAAGCAAACAAATGTTATTGCTTTCAATATTTGTCTAGCATTTAGATCCCCTCGTCATAAGTTTTTTGATCAAAATAGGCTACTAGTATAATCCAGATACGTAGGAAATAATGTCATCTTATACCTACCCCTGTCATTTTGCAGGGTACTGTAAAATTAAAAGTTAATAATGAACACTGTTCTGACAATATACCAACTTAGTAATCCGCTTCTCTGGTTAAAGTACCTATTGACTTTTGTGATAACTTCAAATTATTACTATTCTGAGTCTCCCTTTATTATTTACTATAAAGTATCTACTAATTAATAAAATGTAGGTAGAATCATATCAAACGGCTGGAAAATAATATCTAGTGTTTTGAAAATGTTGAAAGAATCATTTTACAGTAAATTAGTGTAGGTACCATATAACGACAGTTTTAATTTATTATATTATTGTGTTGCGATATAATTTAATTAATCTTGGCGAGTAACTTACGCATCAATAAAATAAAAGTAGGGCTTACATTTTTCGAACATAGTACTTTGTGTTACTGAAGGGCTAGAAGGTCAGCCCCTTCCTCCTGCACAAAAACGTTTACTACTACAACACGATTTTGTTATTAAACATCTAAAATAAAATTTTCTGAAAAATCGGTTTGTTTTAAGACTACTTTATTTATGTTCCGCTTTCTATATAAAAAAACTCATTATTAATTAATTACATTAACAGGTTTTGTAAAATTATAATTGTATATATTAATAATAAGACACTTCAATGAGAACCCGAATAAGAATTACCTACACAAAAAATAGTCAACATCTTTCTTAATATGAATTAAAGTACAATATATTATGTTTTATGTATATTTTTGATCATATATAAAAAATTTATTGTATCATTACACACACATTTATTGTAATTGAGTAAAAATCATCATTGTTACTTTTATCAACTACGGTAACAAACAATGATGACCTTTTTATATTAATTGATGCACGCTGTTTTCCAAAAACACTTTGGAAAAAGTGTAACATTCGAATATGGAAAATAAAAAATATAATTCAATTATTCATTCGAACACCAATCATTCTGTAAAATAATTTGCCAATGCAGAAGTAAAAGAAAAATCCTTTGTTGAAATTAAAGAAACTTTTCGACTGATTAATTTAATAGGAACATATACGAATATTTTAAAAATACGAGATGTAGGTATTGAGTGATACACTTTTTCTATAATTACATGTCTGACACTATGAGTGGTACGTAAAACGTGAAGCCTCAGATTAATTAAGGGTGTTAGCTACTTCTAAGTGGAAATTATGCTTACCACTCATGGTGTACCTGTACTCTATTTCTTAATTTTGTACACAAAAAGTTTTAGAATTAAATGCCTTTTCAGCTATATTTGCAAAAATAAGTTTGGAGTAGTAATTATTATTATTATTTTAATTATTAACTAACGCGCTAGAGTTAGTAACAATAATAAGCTTTTTCAATCAAAAAGATCTACATGTATCGCGCATTGCTGTAAATTCGTTTATATAAATTATTATTAATTATGTTAGGTATGCAAAAATATAATAATAATTATTTATTTATATCGAACGTAATAGGATACCTACAATTTAGCTTATTATAAGTATTAAAAGTTTTTCCCTAAGAACATTCTATTTAACCTTCAATGATAAGACGTAAGATAAGGTGACATTACCTCAGTAACTATACAAGTTTTAACAAATCAAAAGGGCATTGAAATTAAAAATGTAAGCNTTTTGATAGTTACTAAAGTAGTTATCTAGTAATGTTTGGGAATTGCTAGTGCTTTCGTACTTTGGAGCTTCACTAAAATCTTTAACAGCAGTTTCTAAAATATCTTCATAGTTTCTTTTTTCTGTTTGTAACTTTGGATTACTAGTTTATTATGTACCTATTCAAAATAATGTTACCTATTTACTTGTTTCGTTTTATATGTATATACATATAACAACTGAAAAAATAAAGTCACTATTATAATGTTATCTTACGTTAATCTTGTTTTCAAGCCAACCTCTGTTACTCATACTTATTAATTAGTCCTTATCTATTACATTAAGCATAAAATAAATTGGAATATTTGATAAATAAGTGATAATTTACCTTGATTAAGTTATGGTATGTACGCTAGAAATGATTTTAATTCGATTTGCAGAATATTGACCTGTAAAGTTCCCATTTCTTCCCCTACTTTGGGTCATGAGTAAACAATTAGAACCGATAAGGGTTGTAACGTTTTATTTAATTGCAAATGATACGAATTAAATTAAAATTACAACATTAGAAATATTTAAAAAAGCTGATTGATCCACCTACACGGTATGTAATGAGTATGTATTATAAATAATAGTGGAAAGGATATTTCTATTAACAACTTAAGGGTGAATGACGCTAAGAATAGATCAGACTACGGTTGAAAACGTTAATCTATTAGCATAATCCCTTAAATGTTTGGGATAGAAACACATTTTTTATACGTTTTACTTACTGTTTGCCAGACAAAGCACTTTTAAATAAATAAAATCAGCAACTATCTAAAAGTGTATGTAATACGTGCAAGACTCACCTTTGCTTTAACTGGATTATAATAACTTCAAAGTTTGTAAAATTTAAATCACATAAACGCACTCTTACACCGGAAGAATCGCGTTAATAAATAATAAAACTGTATATCAAATACCTAGAGAACAACACGTATTACTTTTTCTCAACCGGTCAACTCAACTAGGAAAACCTCGTGCTGTTAAGCTTTTCTTTCGTGGCCACATTGCGAGCTTCGGTAACGACCGATTGAAGCTCGTTCAGGCATGCGAAGACCGAAAGTCAACACGATAAAACTAATGATGTGTAGCTGTGATTAATTTCAGGAAAATTTTTAAATAACAAAACAACTTTGTCTTGTTTTTAAAGGCACAACTACACCTTGCGGAGAAATATATAACAATTCCCGAAAATAATAAATTAATGACGTCCGAGAAATGAATTAAGTTCTTTAAAGCAAAATTGTTAAGTAACTACCATAAAAAGAATTTGAATAAATACTTGGAATAACTTTTAGGCTCATTTGTTATTATTATAATTATTGAAATAAATAAATTTCCGAAATATTCATCAGATATTAATTGTAACTTGGCTTTGCTCTTGGTGAAACATTGTATATTGAAAATAATTCATGAAATAAAAGCACCTAGTTTCGTTTCACTATTTTTTTTTTTGTTTATTTAATTTTTTTTATTTAGAGGATTAAATATTAAATAAAAAAAATAGTGAAAGAAAACCAAGTGCTTTTATTTCATGAATTATTCCTTAGATATGCAACACACTAAAGAATTTAACAGGTATCAGCAATCATGCATTTGTTATTTAATTAATATTTGTGTGGACACCAATTTTAGCATTTGTTTATGTTCCTCACGGTGCCATCATACATGCTTACGTCAAGTAGGTAGCTTTCAAAAAGGTCATCAATTTAATCAAAAGTGAGAGACTTTTTAAAACTATCGTTGTAATAAAACGATGCTTCATCCCCCAAAAAGATAAAATTAAATAATATTTATTATGAATAGAGGGGTAAAAATTAAGAAGCCATTAATAATTTATCTGTTAAGATATCTTACGAATTTTTTTTAGAAATGTAAATCTGAAACATTAAAGAGAAGGCACGATGTGAAAAATTTTTCGAAATCAAAGAACCGAAAGACGACCAGGTCAAAAATAAACAATAAGGCATTAGGATCAGCTGAAATAGTGGCACCGGCGAACTTGAATGTCATGAGGAAAAACGTTTCTTGGGGATGTGCAAATAGGAATGTAAAATTACGAAATAATGATACACACGATTCGATCATTTATATTGGAACATTCTATGTGGATCCTATACAACACCGAAAAATACCTGTAATCGATTTAACATTATCACCTGATACTATTTTAAACGATTCTGGGAACTGGAATACTTCTAAGAACGCAGGACAGGGTAATTACTTTAAAATATAGCAGGAGACATTTCTTATCAGAGCTGTTTCGAAAAGTTTTTTAAAACGGCCCAATTATCGAAAAATTACACGAAAAAGATACTTTAAACTTCTTTGTAAATTAAAAGTTAACATTCACTTATCTAAATTGATTGTAAAAGAGCATCATCTATGAGATAAGATACAGAAATATTTGAGTGGGAGAGAGAACATTCACTTACCACAACCTAACCTATCCTAACTAACCCAAACTAGCATAAACTAGGTTAGGTTGTGGTGGGTAGAGGTTCCTTCTATCTTTGGGGGTTTATCCCTACAATCTCGCGTAGGTGAGGCTTCAACTACAGTATTTGATGCCGCAACATACAAATATATTTGAGGGGAGAGAGAACATTCACTTACCACAACCTAACCTATCCTAACTAACCCAAACTAGCATAAGCTAGGTTAGGTTGTAGTGGGTAGAGGTTACCTCTTCCCTTTGGGGGTTTATCCCTACAATCTCTCATAGGTGGGGCTTAAAGTACAGTATTTCATGCCGCAACATACAAATATATTTGAGGCGAGAGAGAACATTCATTTACCACAACCTAACCTATCCTAACTAACCCAAACTAGCATAAGCTAGGTTAGGTTGTAGTGGGTAGAGGTTACCTCTTCCCTTTGGGGGTTTATCCCTACAATCTCTCATAGGTGAGGCTTAAAGTACAGTATTTCATGCCGCAACATACAAATATATTTGAGGCGAGAGAGAACATTCATTTACCACAACCTAACCTATCCTAACTAACCCAAACTAGCATAAGCTAGGTTAGGTTGTAGTGGGTAGAGGTTACCTCTTCCCTTTGGGGGTTTATCCCTACAATCTCTCATAGGTGAGGCTTAAAGTACAGTATTTCATGCCGCAACATACAAATATATTTGAGGCGAGAGAGAACATTCATTTACCACAACCTAACCTATCCTAACTAACCCAAACTAGCATAAGCTAGGTTAGGTTGTAGTGGGTAGAGGTTACCTCTTCCCTTTGGGGGTTTATCCCTACAATCTCTCATAGGTGAGGCTTAAAGTACAGTATTTCATGCCGCAACATACAAATATATTTGAGGCGAGAGAGAACATTCATTTACCACAACCTAACCTATCCTAACTAACCCAAACTAGCATAAGCTAGGTTAGGTTGTAGTGGGTAGAGGTTACCTCTTCCCTTTGGGGGTTTATCCCTACAATCTCTNGCGCCACTTGTAAGAATTAAAGAAGGGCAACTTTAAAACGGGATAACTCAGTTATTTCTAAGCCGATTTAGATGTGGTTTTCACCAAACATTAAGAAATTTAACGTTTTTTACACTAATTAGAAATATATATATAGTCTTAATGTATAAACACTTGAAAGAATTAGTTTACATATTACATAAAGTATATACTCTGCAAATATTAATTTAATCAAGCCCGAAAGATAATTCCTTTAGGATACTGAGTAAACCAAATATAAAGGCATAACAACTTGCCATTTATTATCGTCATTAAATGATAATAAGTGTAAATAGGCGTACATTTAATTAGCTACCTAATCAACTTTACGCTTTGCTTTTGGTTCTGCAAATTGAAATAAATGAAGCGTATCTACAATATAATCTATTTGTTTATGTTAATAGTAAAAAATTATATATTATCTTTTACGAATCTTATAAGGAATTAAAAGAATTTGATTCAAATATTATTTCTATTTGAGAGTTTAGTTAGATGTTCCGGAATACTGCCCTGTATAAACATTTGCCTATACTCCAATTTAGCGCGCTTATGTGAAATTCAAACATACTTTTTAGAATTAATTAGAAATACGTTTAAAACACATTATAATTACCTTTTCGTGCAAAAACAATTAGTTTGAACAAGAGAATAACATTTTCCAAGAATGTAAACTATGATGTTAAACTTAACTTGACTGCTTAAACTTTGATATCTAACAAATATATATCTCGAATCTTCTCGTTTATTTAACTTTAGTCTAGAATTAAAACATATTGTCTAATTTGTTTTAATTAATACTCCTTATATTGTGCTTTATTATTTACCTATCATCAGTAAATTTGCAATTGCTCCATTTAAAAGAGCGAATTTTAAAGGAAGGTCCACATTCCTTCTTAACTAAGTCAGATAATATTTCTGAAAATAATTTCTCAATTTGATTTAAAATAATGTTTTTATTTGTATGTCGAGGAATATTATCGTATAAGGGATTATAGATTAGACATTCATTTTCATCTTTTTTAACCCTTCTTGAAAAATGTGATCTTTTGCGGTCAAGGGGATTGTTTTTAAAATAGTGCTATATTGTTGATTAAAAGAAAATGATCTATTATCTTGAGATAAAATATTATCTGGACTTAATTTAGTGAAAGGTTCATCTTCACAAATGTTATTTTAAATAATTGAATACCATGGAAATGCAATGTTATCAGAATATTGATCTTCAGGGTGTGAAGATGTCTTAGTTGATTTTTTTATTGAATTTACACTATTATTCATGGGAGTTTGTTTATAAATCAGTTTATCTTCTTCACTAATAAATAAATAATCTATGTTCTTAGTTTGATTTATTTCGGTATTGCTTTTAAGTGAAGTACTGAACTGGTTAAAAGTAAAGGATTATATTTAATAAAAATAAGCTTTCAGCAGAAATTGAGAGTAATATGTATTATTGTAGATTTCAATTAATCGAGCGTACTACCCATCATTTTCTCTCCGAATGCTCACTCTCTCTGTCTGAACGCGAAGACAACTCTGTTCTCGTTGTATAAACAAACCAATTTCTTCTAACAAATAAAACAACATTTTTTTAACGAATTAGGCATACTAATGTTTTTTTTGTATCTGTTCCCGTTTATTGTTATGAAAAAGTTGGGAATTACCATATTTACTTTAGGTAATCTCGGGTAATCTAGGATTGCCGAGAATGGGGACTGGTTTTGAAAATTCTTTCCTTTCTGAGGAACTATAATTTGAAGATAAACATGTCGCATTTTTTTATTTAATATAATGAGCTTTCGGCAGAAATTAAGAGTGATATGTATTATTGCAGATTTTTATTAAACGAGCGTACTACCCGTCATTGTCACTCCGAATGCTCACTCTCTCTGTCTGAACGGGAAGACAAGTCCGTTCTGGATTTATTAACAAATTAATTTCTTGTAACAAATAAAATGACACTTTTGAACAAATTAAACCAACTAATTGTTTTTTATATTTTTCTGAGGATCTATGCTTTGGAGATAAACATGTCGCATTTTTTAAATTTAATATAATGTAGCTAATGTCCTCATGGTTGATGAGACACCAAATAATGAAAGACAATAAAAACCGGCCTTTCGACCCTATAATAATTAATTTTGGGAATTTAGAGTGTTTTTGTACGTATTACATGTGGATTTGACTTTTGTTCAAACACATTTCAAATCACTTACATTAATTTCTTCTTTAATTTATATAAACTATTTTTGGCTTGTATTATTAAAAAGACCATCGTAACTGTTTTCCTAAATGGTATAAATAGGCCTTGATAGTAAATATTTAATTTTATTGCAGATGCCCCCTTTGTCTTTCCAACGTCGTGATAGAGTGGAACGTTAAGAATGGACAATGTTATTGCAACAACGGTGAGCCTTTTTGTTAGTTATGTCTACATTCTTATTAACTAGAAATTGAACTTATTTTTTAAATTTTCCGATATTATTTAGGAAAACTAATTGGTGGTACTTTTTAAATGTTTAATACACCTAGTGAAGAATATTATAGCTGTTTGCTGTTTTTTGAGAAATTATAGAATAATTATATTATTTTTCAACCTGTTAAAATTATTATCAATGAATAATAATTAGTATCTATGTCAAACTGCATAATTTTAATGAACGAAGTAATAATTTTAAATTTTACGTAATTATAACCTAAATTTGACGCAACGAAGTACACCATACAATGGCATCGAGGGTGACTGATTTTATTATGCATGTATAAGTATTTTTAAGTGATTCAATGCATCTGATTGGCTAATTTGGCGGCGGCCATCATGGAATTTCATAAGTAGGTCAAGTTCAGTGCATTCGCACCTATTGGCATGCGGACGTAAACAATGCTAGGCGCCACTTGTAAGAATTAATGAAGGGCAACTTTAAAACGGCATAACTCAGTTATTTCTAAGCCGATTTAGATGTGGTTTTCACCAAACATTAAGAAATTTAAGGTCTTTTACACTAATTAGAAATATATAGATAGTCTTAATGTACAAACACTCGAAAGAATTAGTTTACATTTTGCGTAAAGTATATACACTGTAAATATTAATTTAATCAAGCCCGAAGGATAATTCCTTCAGGATACTGAGTAAATAAAAATAAAGGCTTAACAACTTGCCATTTATTATCATCATTAAATGATAATAGGTGTAAATAGCCATACATTTAATTAGCTACCTAATCAACTTTACGCTTTGCTTTCGGTTCTGCACATTGAAGTAAATGAAGCGTATCTACAATATAATCCATTTGTTTCTGTTATTAGTAAGAAACTGTATATTATCTTTTAAGAATCTTATAAGGAATTAAAAGAATTTGATTGAAATATTATTTCTATTTGAAAGTTTAGTCCCGGAANTGAACTTATTTTTTAAATTTTCCGATATTATTTAGGAAAACTAATTGGTGGTACTTTTTAAATGTTTAATACACCTAGTGAAGAATATTTTAAATAATTATATTAAAACGAAAAATACCTTTCTCTCACGATCGGTCGTTCAAACATAGGTATGCACCTTGTAATACAGTTAAAACATATTTTCCGACCTACGTATGACAATATACCACTGCGCCATCTTACATGAGTGCCTTGAAGTGGTTCTGCGGCGCCTACCGGCCGCATAAAGAACGTTGCTTGCTACTTGGTTAGTCACCTGCTAGGTTTACGTATAGTTGCACTACCACTTACGAGATAGCACACTTACTTACCAGTATACATAGGTTAGAACAAAAGTTTTGACGCAAATATAAGGGACATACGACAAGTTTCGACAGTTAAAACAAAACAGGTGCAACTCAGTACACGTGGAAGAATTGAAACTTCTTTGGCTATCTCTATACCTTTATAACGAATAAGTAATGACTGGTGAAAGAGAGAACGCAAATGTTTTTGAACTACAAAAAGTAAACATTCCAAAGGAAGATACGATTTTCATTGAAAAACGGTCTAATTTAATAAGTTATCTTTGCATTATTATTAATTACTATCAGTATGTATATAAACTATCACTAAGTATATAAACCAAACTTTTAATTAACAGTAATGAAACGTTTTCGTGTATTATTGTATATTTTTTATCTGTGTTTCCTAACGAATTTGATGTTCCTTGTGCCTTCACCATATCGGTTCAGTACGTCTAGAAATAAAATACTATATAGGCAAGGAAGAGTCAAGTGTTTTGGTTAAACTGTAAAAACTTCCTAACATAGCTACCTAACTAATATTGATATTAAATTTTATTCACTGGTTTTAAATTAAACATTTACCTCAAATATGAGATAAATTAAACATTTACCTCAAATATGAGAAAACTAGTATCAACTTAGTATTTCAATGACAAAATAAAATATTGCTAGTAATTTTCGCTTTATGGACTTTTGAGAATTACAGGAGGTATGGTAGTTTAATGAAAATAATATTTTTTCTTGTAATATTTCTTTATTTGTGGTTCAAAAATATTTAGAGAGTTTTTTTTTTGTGTTATTAACTTTGTACACCTTTGCGTAGTACAACATTACTTTTCCTTTATTACACTTGTTCTTTTCCTTACTTTGACGCAACTGTACTAAAAAAGTAAACGTCGAAGTCTATTTTATTCAACACAATTAAAAAAGAAAAATGAACAAATTTCATTTCATTTGGAGATTTAAACAGTCTGTGTTTTTCCTTGCTTCAAATCATTTGAATTAATTTTGTCTTTAATTTAAATGAACTATTTGTGGTTATCACCGTTAAAAGAACCACCTTAACTATTTTTCTTTATTTATTTAGTAAACACTAGGTTTAGTAAGTTTTTAAATAGGCCTTTGAATTTAATATTGACTTTATTTCAGCAGTTCCTTTTTCTCCGTGATGAAACGTTTAGGATGGTCCAAGTTTGGTGCAATAACGTAATGGTGAGTTTTTTTATTAACTACGTGTGAATTTTTATTTATCGTGGATTGAACACAACTTTTAATTTTTTTGGTATTATTTAGGAAAACTAATTTTGCTTTTTAAATGTCCAATGCAACCATTGAAATACATTCAAATGAAATTTATTCCAAGATAAACGCTGAAGTTTAATTTAATTTACATAATTAAAAAAAAATTAAATTAAAATGAATGGGATCACAGGTCTTTAACCCGATTAATAATTAATTTTCATTTGCAGGTTTAAAATTTCTACATTTCTCCTTGGTTCAAACATTTTTCAAATCGTTTGAATTAATTTCTTGTGTAATTAAATAAAATATTTTTGGATGACATTGTTACAAGGACCATTTTAGCTATTTTCCTGAATTTTAAAAGACTAATACATTGATCTTAACGATAAATATTTGATTTTATTGCAGTTATTCCTTTATCTTCCCGAGGTCGTGAGGAAATGATAAGGATAGACGAAGTTGGTCGCATCAATAATGCAACGGTGAGATTTTTATAACTTACATCTGAATTTTTATTTAGTAGCAATTGAATTTAATTCTTAATTTTTCTTAAATAATATAGGAAAAGTGAGTGTATTTCTTAAATTTTTAAAGCTGCTTTGAAGAATATTTTAAAGAAGTATATTAGAACATAAATATTGAAGTCTATTTTAATTAACATAATTAAAATCTTCAGAAGTTAGAATAATAATAATTTTGATTTTCGGTTTCTAACTGTTAAAGCTTTTCCTCTTGATATTTATTCAATGATGAGATAAAGTAAATTTTTGATTTTATTACAGCTGTTCCATTTTCTTCCTGAAATTGTGAGGAACCATTATGGATAGAAAAGTTTGGTCAAACAACCCAACGGTGAGTTCTTTTTAAATTTATCTATCGCATTGGGGGTTTCTTTCATAAATCCTACTTCTGTCTTTTCGACTACAAAATTTTATTTGGTGAAGCTGTTTAACATTACTAATGAAGCAAAATAGGCCCTGAATATTAAAAATACTATGAAAAATAATATTTAACATCATTTCAACATCGTTGAAAATCATGAAATGTTTTAGTGCTGAAATTTTTTTATTTTCTGTGATTTTAATATCTAATATTTATTTTGTTTCATTGCTAATTTTTAAAGCTTTTCCAGGTAAACTTTTGCAGTTGTATCTCGAACAATTAGTTATTTGACGAGTTAATTTTGTACAAAAAGCAGTAACTAATTGCACAAGACAGTAGTTACTTTTGTATAAAAAATATCAACAAACTAATTGAACGAGATACACCTGCAAAATTACAATTGGTAAAGCAGTTAAACATTTGAAATGAAACAAAATAGGCGCCAAATACCAAAAATTGGATAAAAAATAATACAATTTCACCAATCTTTAAAATCATCAAAGATCGCGCACTATTAAAGTGGTAAAACTTTTTTATTTTTCGCCGGATTTTAATTTTCTTTTATCTATGTTTACCAACATTAATTAGTATTTGGTGCAATTAGTTATTTTTGCAGTTAGTGCGAAAAAAGTTAGTTTTGTACTAAAAAACAGCAACTGAATAATTGCACTAGGTACAGGTAATGTTTGCTTTGGTGAAATTGTTGAACATTGACTATGAAACAAAATAGACGCTAAACATTGAAAATTGTATGAAAAATGAGAATGTTTTACCATTGTCTGAAATAATCAAAATTCACGCTATCCTAAAACGCTGAAACTTTTTTACTTTTCATCTGATTTTAATAGTTTAACATTCATTTCATTGCTAATTTTTAAAGCTTTTCCAGGTAAACTTTTGCAGTTGTATCTCGAACAATTGGTTATTTGACGAGTTAATTTTGTACAAAAAACAGTAACTAATTTCACAAGACACACCTGCAGAATCTGATTTGATGAAGCTGTTAACCATTAGGAATTAAGGATTATAGATTAGACATTCATTTTCATCTTTTTTAACCCTTCTTGAAAAATGTGATCTTTTGCGGTCAAGGGGATTGTTTTTAAAATAGTGCTATATTGTTGATTAAAAGAAAATGATCTATTATCTTGAGATAAAATATTATCTGGACTTAATTTAGTGAAAGGTTCATCTTCACAAATGTTATTTTAAATAATTGAATACCATGGAAATGCAATGTTATCAGAATATTGATCTTCAGGGTGTGAAGATGTCTTAGTTGATTTTTTTATTGAATTTACACTATTATTCATGGGAGTTTGTTTATAAATCAGTTTATCTTCTTCACTAATAAATAAATAATCTATGTTCTTAGTTTGATTTATTTCGGTATTGCTTTTAAGTGAAGTACTGAACTGGTTAAAAGTAAAGGATTATATTTAATAAAANAAATATTAATTTAATCAAGCCCGAAAGATAATTCCTTTAGGATACTGAGTAAACCAAATATAAAGGCATAACAACTTGCCATTTATTATCGTCATTAAATGATAATAAGTGTAAATAGGCGTACATTTAATTAGCTACCTAATCAACTTTACGCTTTGCTTTTGGTTCTGCAAATTGAAATAAATGAAGCGTATCTACAATATAATCCATTTGTTTCTGTTATTAGTAAGAAACTGTATATTATCTTTTAAGAATCTTATAAGGAATTAAAAGAATTTGATTGAAATATTATTTCTATTTGAAAGTTTAGTCTTTAGTCCCGGAATACTGCCCTGTATAAATATTTGCCTATATTCCAATTTAGCGCGCTTATATGAAATTCAAACATACTTTTTAGTATTAATTGTAAATACCTTTAATGACACATTATAATTACCTTTTTGTGCAAAAACAATTAGTCTAAACAAGCGAACAACATTTTCCAAGAATGTAAACTATGACGTTAAACTTAACTTGACTGCTTAAACTTTGATATGTAACAAATATGTATCTCGAATCTTCTCATTTATTTAACTTTAGTCTAGAATTAAAACATAATGTCTAATTTGTTTTAATTAAAATTCCCTATATTGCGTTTTATTATTTACCTATCATTAGTAAATTTGCAATTGCCCCTTTTAAAAGAGCGAATTTTAAAGGAAGGTCCACATTCCTTCTTAACTAAGTCAGATAATATTTCTGAAAATAATTTCTCAATTTGATTTAAAATAAAGTTTTTATTTGTATGTCGAGGAATATTATCGTATAAGGGATTATAGATTAGACATTCATTTTCATCTTTTTTAACCCTTCTTGAAAAATGTGATCTTTTGCGGTCAAGGGGATTGTTTTTAAAATAGTGCTATATTGTTGATTAAAAGAAAATGATCTATTATCTTGAGATAAAATATTATCTGGACTTAATTTAGTGAAAGGTTCATCTTCACAAATGTTATTTTAAATAATTGAATACCATGGAAATGCAATGTTATCAGAATATTGATCTTCAGGGTGTGAAGATGTCTTAGTTGATTTTTTTATTGAATTTACACTATTATTCATGGGAGTTTGTTTATAAATCAGTTTATCTTCTTCACTAATAAATAAATAATCTATGTTCTTAGTTTGATTTATTTCGGTATTGCTTTTAAGTGAAGTACTGAACTGGTTAAAAGTAAAGGATTATATTTAATAAAAATAAGCTTTCAGCAGAAATTGAGAGTAATATGTATTATTGTAGATTTCAATTAATCGAGCGTACTACCCATCATTTTCTCTCCGAATGCTCACTCTCTCTGTCTGAACGCGAAGACAACTCTGTTCTCGTTGTATAAACAAACCAATTTCTTCTAACAAATAAAACAACATTTTTTTAACGAATTAGGCATACTAATGTTTTTTTTGTATCTGTTCCCGTTTATTGTTATGAAAAAGTTGGGAATTACCATATTTACTTTAGGTAATCTCGGGTAATCTAGGATTGCCGAGAATGGGGACTGGTTTTGAAAATTCTTTCCTTTCTGAGGAACTATAATTTGAAGATAAACATGTCGCATTTTTTTATTTAATATAATGAGCTTTCGGCAGAAATTAAGAGTGATATGTATTATTGCAGATTTTTATTAAACGAGCGTACTACCCGTCATTGTCACTCCGAATGCTCACTCTCTCTGTCTNTCTCATAAGGACATTGTACACCTTCTAATGGCTTAGAGTTGATAGTTTCATAAGATATTTTTTGATAGTTACTAAAGTAGTTATCTAGTAATGTTTGGGAATTGCTAGTGCTTTCGTACTTTGGAGCTTCACTAAAATCTTTAACAGCAGTTTCTAAAATATCTTCATAGTTTCTTTTTTCTGTTTGTAACTTTGGATTACTAGCTATATTTAATCTCTCACTACCTGTATTTCTGTTTTGATGGGGTATATATTCAAGTAATTCAGTATTTTGGTCAATAGCTGAAGAGGTTAAGAGTTCAGTTAATTTACTTTTTCTATTCATTCTCCTATTTAATTCAATATCTGTGTATATTAATAGCAGCACACTTTTGTTAAACAGTATTTGGAGCATAAATTTTTATGTTAGAATTATGATTAGAATAATATACTAGCTTTTTTTAAAAAAATTCAAACAATTTTGACTTTTCTGCATTGAATAGTTGAACTGCGTCATTGTTAGTAGTTCAAATAACAGATTATTCAAATAAACTATTTCTCATAGAATGTGATAAATATGGAATTCTCCTAATGAACTTTATTCAGTATAGATGCCACAGATTCTTTTCTACTTTTCCTTTTTTGTTTTGTCGCCGGATGCTTAATTATTCTTAAACAGCTAATTAGTTAATTGGAACTCCAACGTTTATACAGGAAGACCTTAGAATTCGTTAATAGTTTCAAATTTTTATTCGTGATTTATATATGTAGTACGCTACTAATCAAATAGCAAAAATGAAAGAGAAACACATGATGTATCCTAAACTTTTACAATAAATCAAGTAATGGTAATTAATTATATCCTAACAAACATGATAGTTATAGATAAATGTCCGAGATCTAATCGTCATAATCATCAGTTACACGCATTTTTCTCGTTGAAACACCTGATTCAATGTCTTGCGCGGCCTTCTTCATCCTCTTAATTCTTCTACCAAGATTTCTTTTTTCTGCCCTGGCTTTACGAAGCGTAATGAAGGCATTGAATTGTTTTTCTTCGGTAGAAGGCACTTTTGCTTTTATTTTCAATACTGGCTTGGAAAGACTGTTCACACCTAACAATTCATTCGAGACTGTTACGGAAAACTGAATTGCAATAGTATATTCAGAATATTACTCGTTAAAGATTAATTTTTCAGAAGACTGATGGAGGAGTGTTTGTTAATGCTAATTCTTTACAGCATATTTTTTTATGACTTTACAAGCACACGTCTTTTACGATTCCACGATCTAATAGTTTATTCAAATAAATTCAAAAGATTTGAATGCAGTTTTACCTAGTGACTTTTTTTGAGAATTTATTATAAGCATATAGATCGTTAAGCTAGAAAGATAAAAGCTTTCTCGTATGAAAAAATTATAACACTTTTCTTTATAATCTTAACTAATATTATAAATGTGTTTGCTACCATTTCACGTCTTAAGTATTCAACCAATCATTTTGAAATTCTGTAGACACATTTTCAGGGATGCAGAAAAGGACATAGGGTATCTTTTATCCAGAAACAATGTACTGTTCGCGTGGGATAGAGAAATTAGTTTTTTGACGCGTATTTAGAATATCAACGCGAGCGAAGCTGCGGGTAAAGCCTAGTAAATAATAAAATATTAATAGAGCAGAAGTGGGGTAGACTACACCCTCCATGAAGTATGTTTCGAATGAGAAAGACTATTAGTTACAATTCTGGTTAGTGACCTAAAACCTTTTTCGTCAAAAAACAAAATAAAGAGCACTAGGAAAATTTCTTATTGCAGAACATAAAAATACAAACACAAGTTACAAAGATGTTTATTGTACCACAATGTACAGTTCGCCACACAGTGGCTTCTTCAGGTGGAAGAAGTAATACTCTTAAACTTAATTACACAACCCTTACATACTTAATTATTGTAGTGGGGGTCAATATTAAAAATAATACTAAAAGCTCCTGAACATTCAAAAGTCAATTAAACCTATTAGAAAGTCTAGAGATCAATAAATTAAATAGATTAGGATTAGTTANTTTTACTTTATTGCAGCTGCCCTTTTTTCTTCTGGAGGACGTGAATGAACGTTAAAGAAGGACCAAGTTTACTGGAATAGCGCAACGGTGAGGTTTTTTATCATCTACGTCTGAATTTTTATTAATTAGAAATTGAACTTAACTTTTAATTTATCTGATATTATATAGGAATAGTAATTGTTTTAAAGGTTTAAAACTGTTAGTGAAGAGTATGTTACAGAAGTATCTTAAAACGTAAATATCGAAGTTTATTTTATTTAACACAATTTAAAAGAAAAATGAAAAATTCACATGATTATATAGGCATTTCAATCGCATATGAAAATTTCATTTGGAGATTTAAAAAGTCTGTTTTCCTCTTTGGTTCAAACACATTTCAAATCATTTGAATTAAATTTGTCTGTAATTTAAATAAAGTATCTGTGGTTATCGCCGTATAAAGAACCACCTCAACTACGACTTTCTTTAATTTATGTAGTAAATACTAGGTTTAGTAAGTTTTCACTTGTACACTTACAGATAATAATACTGAAATAGGCATTTGAATTAAATATTGACTTTATTTCAGCTGGCCCTTTTTCTTCTTGAGGTCGTGATGAAACGTTTACGATGGTCCAAGTTTGCTGCAATAATGTAATGGTAAGGTTTTTTATTAACTACATGTGAATTTTTATTTATTAGGGATTGAACTTAACTCTTAATTTTTGTGGTATTATTTAGGAAAACTAGTTTTACTTGCTTACGCTGAAGTTTGATTTAATTAACATAATTGAAAAAATAAATTAAAAATTAATAGGATGAAAGGTCTTTAACAGAAATTGCATATTTAAAATGTCAACATTTCTCCTTGGTTTTAGATATTTTCTTGAATCTTAAAAGGTTAATAAACTGATCTTAAAAATAAATATTTGATTTTATTGCAGCTATCCCTTACTCTTCCCGAGATCGTGAGGAAACGTTAAGGATGGACAAAGTTTGCTGCAATAACGTAATGGTAAGGCTTTTTATAACTTACGTATGAATTTTTACTTAGTAGCAATTGAATTTAACTCTTAATTTCTCTTAAATTATATAGGAAAACTGATTGTATTTCTTAACTTTTTAAAACTGCTATGAAGAATATTTTAAAGAAGTATATTAGAACATAAATATTGAAGTCTATTTTAATTAACATAGTTAAAATCTTCAGAAGTTAGAATAATAATAATTTTGATTTTCGGTTTCTAACTGTTAAAGCTTTTCCTCTTGATTTTTATTCAATGATATGAGATAAAGTAAATTTTTGATTTTATTAC